GACCAGCGACCCGCGCATCGTCGATCCTGTTCTACAAGCGGGCATCGAGGTTGGGGGATAATGGCAACACCGCCCCCCTCCTCTACTTATCAGATGATTGTCGCATTCCTCGAAATGAACGACCCTTGGCGTTCCTCGCGTCTCTAACTGTTTCGTCCAGCATCGCTTGCTGAGGCTGCGCGCCAAAGGGCAGTCGATGCGTGTCCGGGCCTTTGTGATACTCGTAATCTCTGGGTGCCGAGTCCTCCTCGGTGCGTCTGAACTCGGCTGACACGCCCGGTGTCTCTCCGGCGTCACGCGCGGAAACGGGTGATGAGATTGTGACTCGTGTCGCTCCCGGTCCGGCCAAACAGAGTCGTACTGACTGTCATCTCACCGGTGCTCCGACTGTTGTAATAGCCCGTGCATCACGTCTTTCCCATCTCGAATGTCACGACAGCTTCACCCGTGACTTGCACTTGGCATCAGCCTCGTCATGCGCCTTCTCACGTGGCATAACTTTCATTACTCGCACTACTTGCCTACATGTATACATGGGGCGCTCTTTTCATCCAGACTTTCACTGAAGCAAGCATCTTCACTCCTATCTATACCTACCTATGTGCCCTGATGTGTGCTCTCCTGACATTGAACTACGAATCAATTTTGCGGTCGGAATTCCGAGTATTAATAGTATATTTCCTCTCACAGGACTGTACCTATATGCAATATTTATGTATGTTTTCTGTCACAAGCAGACCTCTACAATGGTCTTGGAAAAACAATATTTCAAATGAGCTCCAGGTGTATCTAATGATCTTTTAAGATGAAGAAAGTTCTGGTATCTAAGGGTGGGTGGAGTATCTGCATTTACATCTAATTCACCAATGACATGCACGCTTCGCATTGCTCTAAACAAAAACAATCGCTCCTTGAGGTCTTGTCCCGGACCGATGCGGGCGGCCTCATGCCGTTGGATAACGATCCTTCCTCATGGCACTATTCACGGCGTTCTCGACAGCGGAGGGCAGGTCGAGGTGGAAAAACGGCCTGTTGATCCCGCTGACCGCGCCGAGGCGTGTGCCCACGCTCTCCTTGGGACCAAGGCCGCCCTCCTCCAGCGACGAACACGAGAGATCCTCAGAGTCGCTGGCGCCGCCGCATGCCGTTTTCTCCCCACCCCGTCGTTCACCGGGCATGGGCGGCCGGCCCGCCAGGTCGGCCAGGCTGAACGCCGGCTCGAACCCGCCCAAGCGGCCCGCCGTCGGACAGCCGAACCCGGAGACCGAGAGAGCGCGGCGGGTCCAGCGGTTGTGCAGGCCTGCAAAGTGCCACTCGACGGGCTCGGGCGCCGCCCACCGGTCGAGCTGGCTGCGGAGGTCGATGAGGCCCTCGACCGCGCCCGAGTCCATGGTGTTCACGGCGGAGCAGTCCAGGACGATCGCCCGGAGCAACGGCTTGGAGGTTTCCGGGGACGGCTCGGTGTCGGTCTCGACCAACGGCGGCGCGGCCTCATTCCAGGGGCGGTCGCCCGGGTGGTCGTAGCACGGCGTCGTGGTCCGTCTGGTGGCGCGGGTGACGTGCTCGATCAGGCGGTCCACGTACTGTGCTTGGTTGAGGTAGTTGAAGCCCTCGGCGAACCGGTAAATGAAGACGCCCGGGTGCAGCTCGTCGACTCGCACGGCCGGGTTGGTGCCGTCCTTGCGGTCGAGAGGGAGAAAGACGTCGTGTGTCGGGAGACGAGCTCTCGAAGACGTGGTTCTGCTATGCGAGACGGTCTGCGAGCTGCTGACGGAATGCTGGTCCGAGTTGTTCTGACCGGGGGCGGCGGCGGCGTGTTCCGGGTGTCGATGAACACGCACCCGGCCCAGAAAGCGACCCCTGGACCGCGCGAGGCGGAGCAGGAGCAAGGCCGCCGAGAGGGCGACGGTGACGTAGATGCCGTTTTCGAGGCTCGTGAAAATAGACACAAAGACACCGGCGAAGTAGATGAAGACGTCGGGCGGCGACATGAGCCACGATTTGAAGACGTGGTCGGGCGAGGTGATGAGGTTGACGACGGCGTGGACGATGAGGGCCGCCAGGCTGGCCATGGGGATGTAGTAGAGCACCGAGGTCAGGGCGTACAGGGCGAGGAGCAGGATGGCGGCGTTGAAGAGGCCGGCCAGGGGCGTCCTCACGCCGGCCTTGGAGAGGATCGCGGTGCCGCCGAAGGAGCCGGTCGACGCGTAGGCGCCGAGGAAGGGGCCGAAGAGGTTGGTGCAGGCGAGGGAGATGACCTCCTGCGACGGCTGGATGGTGTAGTTGTTGACACGGCCAAAGGACTTGCCGATGGCGATGTGCTCGATGACGAGGATGATGATGGTGGCGGGGAGGTCCGGCAGGAGGGCCGAGATCAGGTCGGGGTTCAGGCTGGGCGGGCCGGAGTGGGTGAAGCCCCGGGGCAGAGTCCCGGTAATGCGGAATCGGAGGTCCTTGCCCTCGAGCCCCCTGTTCACCAGGAAGCTGACGAGGGTGTAGAGCACGACGGTGAAGGTCATGCGCAGAGAGCACAACATCTCCCACATGCGCTTGCGTCTCGGCTGGGTCCTCGCCATACGTTCGCAGTACCACTTGATGGCGGTCAACAGCGCCAACGCCGTCAGGCCGACGGCGGCATCGAGCTTGATCCGGGGTAGGCCCCGGGCGGTGTCGATGAAGACGCGATAGGCCGGGGCCTTGGAGTTGACGCCGTCGATGCCGAGGAGCGAGGGGATCTGGCTGAGGGTGATTGTGATGGCGGCGGCGGTGACGAAGGCGGAGATGGCGACGTGGGGGATGAACTCGATGACCCAGTCGAGGCGGAGCAGGCCGAAGGCGAGGAGGACGGCGCCGGATAGGAAGGCGAGGGTTTTGGAGATTTCTTCGGGCTGGAACTCGCCCGGGTGTTCTTCAAGGACCTTGGCGGTGATCTTTCCAATGAGGAGGGAGACGACTGCTGTTGCCTGGGGTTATCGTTAGGATATTCTTCTTGTTTATCAGGATGGAGAGACCCAAAAGGGGCTTACGCCTATTGCCATGTCTTTTGATGTGCCAAAGATCCAGTAGAGAGCTGCGCCGATGAAGGATGTGTAAAGACCGTATTCGGGGCTGAGGCGTGCCAGAAGAGAGTAGGCCACGGCTTGTGGGATGACCACGAGCCCGAGAGTGAAGCCTGAACGATGTTAGTGAAGGGAAACATCGGCTGTGGTCGGCGAGGGCAACGAGACTTGGAACTTACCTGCGATAGCATCAGAGATGAGCCAGCGTGTGTTGTATCTGAAGATCCATGTCGTGAATGGAAATAGACTTTTGACATAGCGAGCTGCTCCCTCCTTTGTTGGAACATGCTCCAACAGCCACTCTTTGACGGTCGGGTCCTCCTCGTAATAGGGTTCGTGGGGTGAGATGGTCTTGGCCACATGTTCGTACAACTCCTTTGTCTGGTGTCGAGTGCTGGCCTCGAGATCGATACCAAGTATCTTGGCCAACACCGCGCCAGCTTTGCCGGCTGCCATGCTCATCCAGCTCAACTATCGATTCGATGTACTGTCCAAGTCCAAGGTTCGTTTGGAAATACAGAATGCTTCGTTTTCAAATAGGAAGAGCTGTCACTTGGCCGCACAAAGAATAGCAAAAGCGGGAGCAGGTTGTCGCTTTTCGGACGGGAAAAAATTGCAGGCGGTGTACCGAACCAGAGAGTTTTAAGAGAACCCCCAGCGAACTGATAACGAGACGGACTAGCGGCTATCTGAAGGCAAACGTCCCTCGAGAAGCCGCACCGCCAGCCGCCTTGGCGCCCGACTGATCGGGAGACCCATGGGAAGCTAAGATGGCGGCAGGACGGGGGGACATGACCCATTCGCTATGGGGCTCGAAACGGCGACCCCGGCGAGGTCTGACTCTCGCCGTCCCGGGGCGCTCTGGCATCGACGGCCTGGGCCATATCCTATTCAAGAGTTCGTGAAAGCACGCGCAAAAGAACATGTCATCGACGCGCCTTTGTTGGCTGGACGTCATCGCGGCCAACATACAAGGTATAACATGGATACGTCGTGGGGTAGGAGGGCGGCACTAGATTCCCCCCCCCCCCCGTGATGCCGGAGCTGGCTAGGCCCTTGGACGACCAACATGATGGCTCTAGTGCCCTAGGAGTGGATCGTGAATGTGGACAGCGGAGAAAGACTTGGCATGCGTCGAGCGATGTGGGTGATGTGGAACGAAAGCTCTGCGACCCGCATCTCGTTTTGACGGTGTGCGGTTGTTCGTCTCCGGCCGACAGCCGTTCCCGGCGATGGTCAGGGGATGCGGGTGTCGGCCCTCAGGGCGAGGGATCCACAACCGGACCCGTTTGTTGGGGATCTAGAGAGATGGCGATCCCTTGTCGTGGGGCGTTCAAGTCGAAGGGCTAGGCGTGGCCTCCTGGCATCGGGTGTTATGCGTCCCCTTTTGCAGGATTGGGGGGGGGGGGGTCTGACGACGAGCGATACGACGCCGTTACACGTCCCGACGATGTTTCCAGTCCGGGTTGCAAGGGCCACGACATGTCGCGATGCACATCCTCACGTTGCCAGGTGTGTAGAGAAGGACGGTCAAAAGTGAAGGAATGAATGGCACCTCGCGGCACTCGGCCTTTCTCGAGGCGGCTTTTGCTCCGGTAGCCGGCAAGGTCTTGGATTAGCCCTGTCGAGCATATCAGACAGACAGACAGACAGACAGACAGCTGATCGACGGCTCCCTTCGTTAGTAGGAATGCCCAGCAACGTGTCAGGGTAAGCCAGCCGCTCCGCTTTGGTCATTCTGGCACGAGATAGTCGTGGCGCAGATCCGGGTGGACTAGAGTGTAGCGTCACCACCATGGACAGACGTTCAGTTTGATTGACACAAAGTCTAATGACTGACTGGCACCTTGGCTAAAAAGGCCTTTGGTACATGGTACATAGCATGGGAAATGTCGGCACTCCGTCAGCCCCCATTCCAGGTTGAAAACAGCCTGGCTCATCGGCTCAATGGTCTAGAGGTATGATTCTCGCTTTGGGTTTACGTCAAGTACGCCGACTCTCCTGCGAGAGGCCCCGGGTTCGATCCCCGGTTGAGCCCTTTCTTTTGCCCTTTTGTCAGTCAATCAAGTATCAAACGCTCGAGAACAGACCTGGATGAACCAGCTCCTCCTCCTCCCCCTCCTCCTCCTCCACCACCACGTGTTTTCTCTTTTGGCCTGATCGTGATAACGCCGGTGCGCTGGTCGCGGACGGAGACGGCACGGAGCCCGAGTGGGCCCCGGCATTCGGGGCGAGGCAGGTTGCCCCTGAATGCCCCTGAATAAGCACCCATTTCTGTTACAATGCATTGTCTGCGCCGTGACCCCAACGGTTTTCTTAGTCCGAACTTTGGCCACGTCTTTTTCTTTTATTTCTTTTCTTTATTCTTGTTTTCTGCCAAATGATGGGCACGGCACGTTGTTCGCGGACTTACCGAACATCAGCTTTCTGACACCACCAGTCATCGGATTGTCACAAAGGTAGCAAAGTATAAAGAATCAATACGTGCTGCCATGTGCAACCACTGCGCCGCACGAGCCGAGCCGTCAGCCCTGACTCTTTGCGAGCTTAGTGGCCTGTCTGTCAGTTTCAGGGGGGGACCTGACGTCCGAGCCTGCGGACGGTCTTTTCGGAGAACTGGACTGGCCAGCCAGAGGCTGCTCTGTCATGTTTTAGAGAGAGAGAGAGATAGGTAGAGATGTGGAGAGAGAGGGAGAGAAAGAGGTGTCCATCATTCTCCAATGTCGGCTTACTAGTGCTACCTCAGGTCAGTGTAAGCCAATCAAGACCATGGCAACGACATGGCCGTTCGAACTAAACTCGCGATTCCGACCCGAGTCTCCGAATGCATTCTTGCTTCGCGCAACGGGTTGTTCAGCTCGCTATACCACCCTCTCCCCTGGAGAGCAACACGACGTCCGTGGACCATAACACGTTCTCGGCGGCGCGACTTGGCAGTCCATGTCATTACAGCAGCATGCATCCCTCCACCTTAAACAGGAAAGAAGGTGCGTCATGCCGCGCCGTCTTTTCGGATTGACCAAAGCGTGTGCGCGCAGTCTAGAACAGCACTTCATATCTCAACACACTCCGTCCGTCGTCTCTCAACGTGTCAAAATCCGCCGGTGCTGCACCCCACATGATCCCTCATGACATCTCGCTTCGGCACTAGCACTTTCTAGATAGAAAAAAAAAAAAAAAAGAACACGCGGGCCGACACAGGGTGGGGTGGGCGGCACATCTTGGTTTCTGCAGGAACAGCTAGCTTTCGGGATACGTGCTGATCGCTTAACTAACCTTTGTCCAACAATGGCCGACGGTCGCCGCAAGGTTCTTAAACTCTTAAACTCTTACCCCTGGACCCATCGTAATCCCATGGCCTCACAGAGTCATCTGAGCCACAACCCAAAGATGGCATCCAGAACCTCCCGACTCCGTTCATGTTCGAATTCGGGCTGCTTGGCCCGGGAGCACGACAAGGCGGCAACGGTCTGGAAGACCGACAATATGGCGCCACTCGGATGAACACTTTCCGGGTAGTATACGATCCGAAGAGTTTATGGGATTCCGTGATGACAGAATCCGTATATGAACCGGCCATGTCGCTCCAAACATCGTCGTGTAGGGCTCGATATCACAAAGAGTCCATCCTTCGAACTGCGCCCTGTTTCACTTATTCCAAGCTTCCTCGACTTGTGTCAACATGTTCCTCCGGGCTTCCCACTTCGCGGCCGTGATGGCGCTGCTGGACGGCTCATCGGCCAGGGAGTGGTTGAGTCCCGAGTACCGCTTCTTCTACCAGTTCCCTCTGCCCATCCCGCCGGTGAAGAGGCCCAAGATGTAGGGTTTCTGATGAGAAGCAACTGGCGACGGTGAACGAGTGTTGACGGCATGCTAGGTCGATCAACAACCCGGTCACTAACAGGCCCATTGACTACTACGAGGTCGATATCCTGCCCTTCAAGAAGCAGATCTACCCCGACAGAGGGCTGACTTCCATGGTTGGCTACGACGGCATGTCCCCCGGCCCAACCTTTCTGGTTCCCAGGGGCCGTGAGGCGGTCGTCAGATTTACCAACAAGGCCGTTCTGCCGAGTGCTGTGCACCTGCACGGGTCGCCGACTGTAAGTCCCACATCACGTACTGCTCTGCGTTTTAGAAAAAACACGTTTCTGACGGGCTTCTAGAGGGCACCTTGGGACGGGTGGGCCGAGGACAGGATCTTCCCTGGACAGTACAAGGACTACTACTACCCCAACAGCGAGAGCGCCCGTTTCCTGTGGTACCATGACCACGCCATGGAAATTGTAAGAATCCTGCCCGCTCCCCCCCCCCCCCCCCCCCCCCCCCCCCCCCCCCCCCCCAGTCCCTTCCTGAACTCGGGCTCCAGCTAACAAAAGACACGTCGAGACCGCCGTCAACTCCTACTTTGGTCAGGCCGGCGCCTACATCGTCGAGGATGTCGCCGAGGAGAAGCTGGGTCTCCCCAGCGGCTACGGCGTGTACGACATCCCCCTGATATTGACTTCCAAGAGATACGGCAGCGACGGCGCCCTGACCTCCCCGGCCGGCGAGATTGAGAACCTCTTTGGCGACGTCGTCCACGTCAACGGCCAGCCGTGGCCCTTCTTCCAGGTCGAGCCCCGCAAGTACCGCCTCCGCTTCCTCAACGCCGCCGTCTCCCGGTCCTTCATCCTCTACTTCCAGCAGGAATTCGGACCCGGAGTCCCCTACCAGGAAGCCGGGCCCGGAGCCCCCTTCCCGGGTGGCGGTCCCGGAGTCCCCTCCCCGGGTGGCGGGCCTGGAGTCCCCTTCCACGACGGCGGGGCCGGAGCCCCCTTCCCAGGTGGCGGTCCCGGAGTCCCCTCTCCGGGTGGCAGGCCCGGAGTTCCCTACCCGGGTGGCGGGCCTGGAGTCCCCTTCCCGGGCGGCGGTCCTGGAGCCCCCTACCCGGGTGGCGGGCCTGGAGTCCCCTTCCCGGGCGGCGGTCCTGGAGCCCCCTTCCCGGGTGGCGGGCCTGGAGTCCCCTTCCCAGGCGGCGGTCCTGGAGCCCCCTGCCCGGGTGGCGGGCCTGGAGTCCCCTTCCCGGGCGGCGGGCCTGGAGCCCCCTTCCCGGGCGGCGGGCCTGGAGTCCCATCCCCGGGTGGCGGTCCCGGAGTCCCCTTCCACGACGGCGGGGCCGGAGCCCCCTTTCCGGGCGGCGGTCCCGGAGTCCCCTTCCACGACGGCGGGGCCGGAATCCCCTTCCAGGTCGTCGCCTCCGACTCGGGCCTCCTCGCCGGCCCCGTCCCCGCGAACATGCTCGCCATAGCCAATGCGGAGCGCTGGGAGGTGGTCATCGACTTCTCCCCGTTCGCCGGGCAGAACCTCACCCTCATGAACCAGCTGGAGGTCGCGCAGAACAAGGACTATGCCCCCACCGACCAGGTCATGCGCTTCGTGGTCGGGCCGGGCGCCGTGGCCGACACCTCCGTCGTCCCCGTCAGGCTGCGCGACGTCCCCTTCCCGCCGCCCAAGGGCGACGTCGTCGACCGCCGCTTCTTGTTCCACCAGCAGAACGGCCTCTGGAAGATCAACGGCGTGGGTTTCTCCGACGTCCAGAACCGCATCCTCGCCAAGGTGCCCCGCGGCACCGTCGAGATCTGGGAGTTCGAGAACGGCGGCGGCGGCGTGCACCCCATCCACGTGCACCTCGTCGACTTCCGCATCCTCAGCCGCGTCGGGGCCGGGCGTTCCGTCCTCCCGCACGAGGCCGCCGGCCTGAAGGACGTCGTCTGGCTCGGCCCCGGCGAGGTGGTCCGCGTCGAGGCGCACTACGCCCCGTGGGACGGCGTCTACATGTTCCACTGCCACAACATGATCCACGAGGACCACGAGATGATGGCGGCCTTCAACGTGTCGTCGCTGGCCGACCTCGGATACAAGGAGGACTCGTTCGCCGATCCCATGGACCCCAAGTGGAGAGCCGTGCCCGTGTCGCCCGTCGCCTTCAGCAACGACGCCGTCGTCCAAAAGGTCCAGGCCATGGCGGCTCTCCAGCCTTATAACATCGGTGGCGAGGTCTGGAGGAAAATTGCCCAGCGTTGGTCTGCCTGAGACGGCGCGAGCATGCTGAGGATCAAGAAGGCCGTCTGGAACGCCATCGACGGGCCTGAAGACTAGCCCATGTTTTGCGGCGGGCGTGTGGTGGAATTGTTGTGTAAGATAGCGTGTTTGTACTAATACCGGGGAAGGACAGAGTATCTTTACGGAGGCTTCAAGAGATTGTGGTATTCATTTCTATGTAGTATAATCGTTCTATTTCGGGATTGTACGTTACGTTGGATTAATACATCGAGCTATTCATTACAACAATATGATGGATTGCCCATTTTTCTGCAGATAAGAAACCGTCAGTTTATTCTTCAGTGTGCAGGAGGGTTTCAATTCCGGTACCAGGTTGTCGACTGCAGACCGAAAGTGACCATCGAGGCGACTTGGAATCACAAGCTGAGCAAGTCTGTGCTCGCTGTCTAGCAACGAATAACGAAAGCAGTCACGGGATATGAGCTTGAGGTCGAGATTAACCACCTTCAGGGCAGCGAGTTGGAGGGCTTGACTTCCATGTGGGATTCGCTGCGTTTGAAGGAAGACGTGCGTGTACGGCTTCGGTAGTCTGCCAGGGTCAGGCGATAAAGGGGACTACGGGCCATCTGATCACCGGATAAGGGGAGTCAAATTGCTTTTGTTCATATTGTATTTCAAGTTATGTATAGGGCCATGCTGGCCAGTAAGACATTGCTGGAAAAGGGGCTTCCGAGTTCCATGCTTCTGAATATACCGGGGCCGTTATCCAATTCTTCTGGAAATAGCTACCATGTCAGGTTAAATAACGACGCCGTCAGTAAAAGGCGACATATGATTAGGTGTTGGTGAGTAGGAAGGTAAGACATTCACCCCGGCAGCAAAAGATACGCTAGGAAACTTGTCGCCTATATATGGAAGACGTGGCTGTTGCTTTTTCTGGTTGAACTCGTAGATTTATCCGGCTTGTCTAGATTATTTTGGCTTTTCATTATG